ATTTGCCTGTTGCGGAACATTTGGGACACTTTGTATTTATATAAGTAACTCGCGTATATATATATATGTATCTAAAAGTTATAATCTTGCAACGTAAAAATTGTAAAGTAAGGACAAAATATAAAAATAGAATTTACAAAAATTAAAAAGTTTATATGTCACGATTCTTGGATGCAATTTTTATTAACAAAATTGTCACATATATTGATGTTAAAAAGAACTTATTGTAAATTAAGCTTTAACATAAAAATAAATAAATGACACGTGCATGTTTTTATTGAAAATTTATTTTATATACATCAATGTTACCCTACTAGCTCTGTGTTACCGACATTTTGTGCACATAGCATAGAACAGAACCAAACATTGTGCACATAGCATGGAACAGAACCAAACATTGTGCACATAGCATGTTACCCACTGGAAAGTATCATGCACATGGCTTAGTAGTTCAATGTGCACGTTTTGTGCACATAGAGGCGTCTTGAATTGTGGTTGCAGCTAAATCGGGGGGATGACCGCTCTCAGGCTACTCTCTGGTACAAGCATCCTCGTACTCCCGCCGAGCGCACTCGGCCTCTCTAGGCACCGATCTTCGTGCAACGGGCATTCCCGTGCACCAAGCCGGATTGCCGTTCTATTCTCGCCTTTGTACGAGCGTTCTCGTACTTCCGCCGAGCGTAATCGGCATCCTAATCCATATATCGCGTTTATTCGCCGGGATTTCGAATCGTAATCCACCCGGCAGGCAAAACCGCGTCGACCAATCCGCGCCGCCGAATAGTCCGCATCGATCTATTATCGAACGGACTCGCGACACTCTACGAACGCACTCACCGACCAGCGCTCCGTCGTGTGCCAACCGTTACGACTCGATCACAACGCGCCTGCGCCGATCGTTCCGCCGATCGCACTAAGACGCCTCACGTCAAACTTTATCATATTTCGCCGTTGCTTTTATAATCACTTCATCGTTGCTTGAATAATTATTTCGCCGTTGCCGTATAATTATTTCACCGTTGCTTTTATATTTATTTCACGCTGCTTTTATATTTATTTCATGCTGCTTTAATAATTATTTCGCCGTTGCTTAATAATTATTTCACCGTTGCCTTTATACTGATCTCACCGATACTTTTCTACTTATTTCGCCGTTGCTTGTATATACTTTTCGCATCGCAATCGTACATCTCATTTATACAAATCTCGCTACATACATCGCAAACACACATCGCATGTACACACAGTCATCAGACATATTAATTGAATAAAACACGTCTTCTTATTTATTATTAACAATTCGCGTACATTCTTGACACACCCCCAACCGAACGAATCTGGATTCCGGCGAGCTATACCGCGTCCGAAAAGCTCACACGGTTTCAAGGTGTTTGTAAAATGGTTAGGATTTGATTCCTCGCACAACTCTTGGATAAATAAAAACAATGTATTGTAATAAAATATATTTATTGTACAATAAACAATTATATACATGTACTGCAATGGTGTTATTTATTAAATAATATATAAACTATACATAAATATTAACACTAGTGTATAAACAATATAAATAATATAATGTATAAACTATATACAACATAATAAACTATACATAAATACTAATACTACAATTGTATTTTATAATGTCCCCACGGTAGAGTGTCGGTGGAACCGGATACGATGCAGCGCTTATCATCGTACGGACTGAACGCGAGCTTTGACTCTGATACAGTGTACACTTCGTGCATCTTTGATCGGATACACGATTGACGCCGCGTCAGCTCGATATCATCATTGAGACATCGAGTGTAATCGTCAAACGTTATAGTTCTGGCGACTACACTCTTTTTTACACCTTTGACCTTTTTGGTGTTTTTTTGGCCGGTGACTCTCAACGCATACATTTTCGCCCTCAGTCCGACAAATTCCGTCATGATCGCGCCGTTGTTCTCATCTTTCATCAGACCCGGTATCTTCTTGTTCGCACGCGGTATACCGTAAACATTGTCCTCGGAATAATCACTCGTATCAAATTTTGAAAGGTCGCGTTTCATATCGTGATATACGTTCTCGCATTGTAGAAAGTATATCAGACTGTCTGTGTCGGTGTACATAATTTTACAATTGTCGCGGTATAAAGGTGCCATGTATTCGTAGTGAAACTCGTACAAGCAGGTTTTGGATATGTCGAGAATACACATACCCACGTAGATCGGCTTGTCAAATTTCACTTCGAGTTTCCGCAATTCTATGGCGATTAGATTCTCCGAGAACACGCTTCGGCTATGAAAATTTGGTTTGGCGATCATGGCCTCCGCTCCGTATCGTCCCTCCCACTGTGTAACGAGCCGTACATCCGTATGATTTCGCACATTCTCCATAGTTTTGCCAAAAACCGCGTTGTTCATTAATTTGTATAAATTTTTCTCGAATTCATTGCTCGCGAGTGTCCGAAATTGTGTATTTAATTCTATATATCCTCAAAGCCATGGAGATTGCGCGAATTGCAATATTCGATGAATCTTTGTAACCTGCAACCCGTGTCAAATATATTGTTGCAGGTTACGGTAGTGGATGACGTATCGCTGCTTATCGCATAGCGTAGCGAGTAACTTGACCTCCCGCTTGCCGGGCGGCTTATCGCGCGTTGGACAGAACGGTAAGTCAGTGTGCGCGTCGTGAAGATTCATCGGATACACAAGGTCGACTTCCAACACAACCGGTAGCCGAATCGGATGTTATGGACATTACATCAAAGCTCGCGACATTTTCGACCCACTGAAAATCGGCATAGGCCAACGGTTGACACATTGCTGAGCCGTACAAGTTGTTTATATCAAAGTAAATGAGGTACGATGATGGTTTCAATGGATCGTACGATGACATGTATTTATTATTTGCGCGAGCGTATCTGTTGGAGCATTGGCTAAGACCGCCGCGTATACCGCGTTCAACGAACATGACCATATCGATGTCTGTGAGTAATTTAAACTTGATGCCCGTGTGCTTCAACATGGCGTCCCACGTATATCCCGGTAATGTGTAATACTGAGCAGGATCTAAACCGTAACTTTTGATACACGTGTTTCTGAAATTTTGAAAAATATCCGCTAACAAAAGAACGTCTGTTTTTAAATATAAATCACTGTATTGACCTAAAGTTTCAATCGAAAAAGTTTGCCAAACATTTGTTGTGTGCGCATAATCGCTCTCGATTACCGTTTCACCAGTCAACGAACTGTAAAATGATTTGCGCGGAGGTAGGCAAGTCTCCCGGAGCTTGTCGACGCTGTTGACATACTCGTAGGAAAACACATTGCGTAGGGAAACACTGCGCGTAAGAAGATTGAAATTTTCCGCGGATAAATAACTAAATTCGGAATGTGAAGTTTTTAATTCATCTATTGTCAGATAAGATGCCAATTTTTCCAGACTGGTGCCGAGAAATCTAAATGAATCTATAAAACGTAATTTGACGCAAATTTTGGAATTTTTATCCTCTGTATCTTTAACATTTTTTGTAAAAGAAATGTATCGCTCTTTTGTCAGCGGCAGTAAATCAATGTTGCCTTCAAAGGCGTTAGCGACATCTTTAATAATGAAATGCGCATCGTAACCGGATAAATTGTGAAATATTACGGAGATAACGTGGGAGTCTTTGTAATTTAGATTGCACGATGAGTGCGCGGGACCTCGGTAACGCCCGGTCAGATGGCAATGATCGCGCACCCGCGTATCTTCCGATGCAAACAGTTTTTCACACACGTGGCAATTAACAGCGCTATGGAATTTTTCCGATTCCTCCCGCGTAAGATCCGCCATGGGGACGACGGTGGTAAGGATTGCTTTCACACGGCGCGCCAAATCGTGGAGTTCGTTGACGAACCATGCTATGCAATCCTCACCGCAATAAGACTTAAAACTAGATAATGAATTATCGTATGTACAACTTACATAATATCCTACGCTAAACGCTTTGTGATGTTGGTAGGCGTAGGTTGTATGATCTTGTTCCTCCTTCTTCTCAAGCGTGCATTCCAGATCGGCGTACACTACAAACAGGAGCCGCTCCTTCCGGTTGTAGTTGCGGAACGTCAGCTACTTGTTGTTTTCGTTGGGAAGAATGACGGCGCAGTTGTTCATCTTCCCGCAGTCGACACTGTGGACTGACAATTTCTCGCTAGTCCGAAAGTAGTGTAGACACCTGTAATAATTTGTATAATTAATACTGCGAATAAAGTTTCAAATTATTCTATAAATATGTTTTTACTTATCGATCACAAACGTACTTTTTGCCATTTCGCTTGCTCAGTTGCGAGCTCACCAACCGCGATAAATCCTTGATATATACAAAGTGTGCCTCGTTGTTTCCAGGCACGTAGAGCAGGTTGACATGCTTCTCTTTTTTATCGTCGGTGAGACGCAGAGGAATGATTGAACGGCCTTCGATTGTGAATACGTTTACGGTGGTGGTGTTCAATTTTTCAAATTTTGAGATTTGTGGAAGCGTCATGGGGAACTCGATACCGCACAAATTCAGCACCGTTGAATAGTGCGGGTACTGCGATACTCTTTCCGAGTACTTTTCCGCTGGATGTAAAGCGACGACTGCCCACGCGAAACATACATTGTCCGTCGATTGCACGTTGACCACTGCCCTTTTGAATAAAATTTCCCGCGGTAACTTGATGTGGCATCCCGCGTGCAGAGGATTGAACTTCTTGACGTTGATGGTGAGGTCCAAGATATGTAACAATGCCCATCCGCTGTCGCGTTCTTGAAATTCCTCCAGAGACGTCAGGATGGCGTCAACCATATGCTTCATGTACCATTCGTTTAGATCAGATGTGGGAAATAGCTCACGGTTTTTTGTGGCGATGGTCTTTACGGCAGTCTTGTCACCAACGATAAATTCCCCGTTGAACATAGTGTTGATCTTGACACTGCCATGTTTCACCATGACGCTGTGGATCCGCTTTATGATTATACTTTTTATTTGTTCCAAAAATGGACAAGGTTTGATATAGTCCGAGTTAATGACTGCGCTGGTTAATATACGGTTTCTGAAGGCCGTCTCGATTTCTTTCCAAATGAATCCTTTCTTCGCTCTATATCCAGCACCGATGGGCACAAATCGCTCATGCAGGGTGTTTTTTACACCCTCCAGACGTGTTATTTGCGCCACCAAAAAATTTATTAGTCCAGTGCGTTGTTTCTTGCGACATTTTTCCCTCAATATATTGAGGTACTCGTCACACTCGTAGTCCCATGGGAGGAACTCTCTCAACGTTTTAATGTTTGCAGCTTGAACGGTGAGATCACGCTCCGTCTCCATTTTGAACAATTGTGACAATTTGTATTTTTCGCAAGCTTTTTATACCCGCTTTTTGCACACGACTAATTAAAAAAATGCTGACAATGCTGATTAAAACATTGAAATCTGGCAACAATGGCGCCCAAAATGCTGACGTGGCTGCCTGTTGCTATGGGCTTTTGCACACGGCACTATTAAAAGTGCTGACTAAATATAAAGAAATCTGGCAACCATGGCGTCAAAAAAATGCTGACGTGGCTGCTGCTAAAAATAGTGATATTATTCTTGTAACAATGCAAAATAGTGCCGAAAGTGCTGACGACGCAAAATGGCGCCTGCAAATTCTAAAAAGTGATGACGTAATCCGTAAAATATGTGGTCCTCTCTAATCTCTTGTAACCTAATATACACATCGCAAAAGTGCTGATGCTGCGCTTTTACAACTGTAAACGTGTGTAACCTGATACCCCTCTACAGTGTTGTAATCTGATACCTCCTCCCCTCAAAGATCTGTAATCTGATATCCCCTCCTCTCCAAAGTGCTGACGCAGCGTAATCCAATACTCCCCTCCTTTTCAAAAGTGCTGACGCAGCGTAATCCGATACCTCCCTCCCCTCCAAAAGTGCTGACGCAGTGTAATCCGATACCCCCCTCCCCTCCAAAAGTGCTAACGCAGCGTAATCCGATATCCCCTCTTCCCCTCTTCCCCCGCATTGCCCCATGGGTTTGAACTCTCCTAGCTATACTATTGTAATTGCTTCTCTACTGACGTTGTTGGCTTACCAGTGTCTAAATTATTTTCCAAGTTTGGACCAAGAATTGTCAATAAAACTTCAAATGTAATACGTGTAATCTAAAAGTGAGATTGGAATTGATGATTTGTATAATTTGATACAACTCTTTCAATATATCTCTCAATACGCTGTATCTTCTTTCTTTTAGCGAACTTCTGTAATAAACAAATATTATAATATAAAACATTTTGTACAAACTAATAATAATACACGTAATTAACCTTAAACTGCAATAACTAACCTTTAATAATTTTTCAATTTCACTATCTGATGAAGACGTTTCTGAATATTCACAATCTTTTATAAGTTGTGTCCCCATAACTATTACAGTAGCAATAATTATATTTTGTTTTAAATTTTCTGCCATTTTTTTCCCTCAGTCTTTACCCTAACCGTTTGGACAGTTTTTTGTTTCTCATCGACCGCCATATTTACCCAGGTGGTCACGTGACGTTTCTTAGACAAGTTAATCTCTACCCCGAGGAATAGGTTTCCGAACGCACCCCTGGAGGTGTAGCTGTAGGCTCAGAACTTGGCTGAGGCCCTGCGGCGCGTAGCGGCGCCGCGGCGTACTATGCCGCTTCGGTGCAGCGGTGTGGCGGTGTGCCGCCACAACAATATATGAACTTATTAGTAAATGTTTCTGTAATATTTATATTAAAGTTAGGGTATAAGGGTATTATAGGATGTTTTCTGTAGTTAATATATAATTGGTGAGACATCTATCAGGAAAGATCATAATTTAAATATTAATAAATCGTAAAATAATTGTTAATAGAGAAGGGTAAACGATGGTACCTTATCTTTGTTTCGCAGAGATAATAATAATGTTAATAATATTCGGTTCCTTCTTTATTAGAATTTCCGTTTACTATATTTAAATGTTCCTCCTAAACACAGCTAAATAAAGTAATGAATAAATAATTATTAGTAAAATATTAGAACTGATATTTTATTTGACTTTGGTTAATTGTAATAGTTCTTGTTATGTGATAAAACTCTAATGATTATCTGTATGTAAGTATATGTATGTAGTAATAATAATAGTAATATCGAAATTAAAAACTAAGTATAGAATCTAACTTATTATATCGAAAACTTTTAGCGCGGACTATATTTCGCGTTGGCTTTGAGTTGACTGTACCGAGCAGTTTTGACGGGACGCTCGACGAAAATCCGCACAAGACGGAGAGGCTCTCCGGGAGAGCCGATAGCTCAAGCACGTAGTCAGTAGAGTGGGGGCGTTCGACGGTGCGCGCGGACAGTAGAGTCGGGCGGTCGACGAAGATCCGCACAATGAGAAACGAGTCGATAACTCACGGTAATTTTTTCTTATGCACTTGCAATTAGTTAAGAGTCTGTCGCGAAGCTACGAATGGTTAGGCAATGAGAGAGAGAAGCCGGTAACCGTAATCTCTCTTTGATTAGATACTCGTATCTATCTCTATACTTTGGTGATGGAATGCAATTAGATCGCGCACTGTCTCGACTTTATTCTTTCTTATATCGCATAGAATTTTATGATATTATTTAAAGTTAGTAGTAATTAATATATTTTATAATTCTTACCTCAATAAATGTTGTTCGCTGAAATATGTAGATTGCTGAGCGCGTACATACACTGCTTCTAATTATTAATTTTTGGTACTTAAATAATTAAACGAATGCTTAAATTTATAGTTGATTACATATTTTATTACAATGCTAGAATTACTATACTAAACTTTATTTTTAATTTATAATGAAATGTGTTTTTCAATAAACGATGTAATTGTATTTGTTTTATGGGAACGCTGCCCATATACTAAATGTAATTAATTGAATTTGATTTAAATATTAATTATTTTTGTAGGAAATCCCGGAAATGGAACCCGGCGCCTTACAAAATTGAATCGCGGGACTCGAATTTGACTATTTATTAAAATTAACGTGTTTGTATTGAGGACTCACTATGGGTGCAATTTGTTAGACGCTTCAAATGCTTCAAATAAACTTGCTACAAATACTTCCGATAGAGTGATCCGTTAGCGCTACTGACATTGCCAACGCTACACAAGTGGATCAATGCGAAGCGTAAGAATATAATAGTCTTAAGAAGACATTAAAAACATAACCTTAATATTAATATCAGTATTGATGAACATTAATAATAGTATTGATTATTAATATGAAAACAAACGTGGCCATAATTTGTATAGCCAAAATTTTTCAAGAATCTCTACATTATATTTATAATAATGAAAATATAGATCTACAAATAATAATAGATCAAATAGAAGCTTTGAGAAACAATCCTCAACGAATTCCCAAAATAGAAGAATATGTGGAATTTGTAATTCCCTTACTCAATAGCATGCAGTTCACAATCTCACTTTCGGTATGTATATTGTCATTATATATATTTCTTACAATATACTGTTATAAATATATACCTAAAAATGCATAATTTTGTATAATTAACTTGCACTTTTATAACTTAGAATGCTACCGTCAACATTTGAATTTATTTTGAGAAAAATTGGAAAGAAACTTATTCGCAGTATTGAAGGGAATGAAATGATACCTGCAGAAAAGCAGCTTCTATTGAGCTTATGGCGTTTTGCGACTCCAGATTCATATAGGTATAGATATAGATTTATAAATATGACAGTTAATTTCATTATACAATTAACTATGAATAATATTAATTCGTATTGTAGCTATAATAAAAAAAATTTTGTTTTAGATCTATAATCCAACGATTTAATGTTGGTCATGCCACTGCTATAAGAGCTGTGCGTCTTGTTAGTGCAGCATTATGCGAGCTTTCGCCACAATACATAGTATGGCACACAGGGAATAACATTGAAGAAATTGTGCTTGGTTTCTCCAGTATAAATAATTTTCCTAATACAATTGGAGCCATAGACGGCACTCACATTAACATTCCTGCACCGAAGAAAAATGCAGAGACCTATGTAAATAGAAAAGATCATCATTCAATTCAGCTTCAGGTAATGTTTAAATAATATTTTTAAGTATTAGTATGATTAGTTTGCCTATTATTATGTGTATTATACTTTACTACTGATACAATTTTGATATAATTTACTACTGATAAAATTTGATAATGAATATGAATAATGTGATTGAACTGTTTAATCTTTGCAGGCTGTTTGTGATCACAGAAGGCTGTTCACACATATTTATGTTGGAAATGTAGGTTCGGTCCATGATGCTCGTGTATTCCGCTTATCACCTATTGAAGAATATATCAGAAATAGAAAAGAATAATGCAGAAAAGTTTCCTGACATTATACATTTGATTGGAGATGCTGCTTACAGACTGCATCAGCATCTTTTAACTCCATATACTGATAATGGACATTTGACACAACATCAAAAAAATTATAATTATTGTCATTCTTCAAGTAGAATGGTGATTGAACGAGCATTTGCTCTTTTAAAATGCCGCTGGAGAAGTCTTTTACAATTATTGGCAATGAATGACATCGAAATTATACCTTACCATATATTAGCATGTTGTGTACTGCACAATATTTGTCTACTAAAAAAGGATGGACTGGAATTTCAAGATGGCATCATTGTTGAAGAAGTTCAAGAAACAGAATCATTACAAAGATTCGAATGTAATAATAGAAATATTGCAGAAATAAAACGGAATAACATATGTGCTAATTTACAAATGAGACGCACTTAAAAAATATATTATTAATATGTTTATTTAAATATAACTTTATAATATTTTTTATATATTTTAATATAAATATGAGTATTTTATTTCATATCACATTATATCACATTTATTAGAAAGATTGACCTATAAAATAAAAATTATTATATGAAATTATAAATATAAAACTTTTTATTTATGCACACGTATAAACCTATATAAATTATAATAAAATAAAATTTCAGTCTGATAATAAAAATACAAAACAACATAATACTCTGAACACATGAAATAATATCATTTTAGAGCTTCTTATAAAAAATATAGGCTTTAAAATAATAATTTTATATGATTAAGTTATGCCAATCTATATACGTGTGGTTTAACAAAAATTACTTTGTAACAATCTTAAATCTGAAAAAAACAAGAAATATTTTTAATATTAGGCGCTTTGGTATTTAATACGATTTCTCTTCTCATATTATTTAGTAATCATCTTTTCAAGAATGTTAAGCAATTTATCTTGCCAAGCCATTGCTTCTTCGTGCATTTT